GAGGGATAGGATATGGATGTATAAAATGGTTAATGGTCTTATTCCAGATTTCCCAGGCTTTATTTATACATGTGGAGGAATGATGGCATTTTTTCGATATCCTTCATCAAGCAGCACTCAGGTGTTTTAGCTGTCTCATCTAGTCTTAAAAAGCTGTTCAGGAGGTAGATGAGACCACTAACAGATTCAATACCGTCTTCTTCATGAATTAATACGGACAGTAGCCCTCGGTCCTGCAGTCCTTGGTGTAGTTAAAGTGAAAAATTTAAAATAACTTTGGACCGGCTAGTAAGACAGTGGCCATGGAAACTAAAAGCCAGCCTATCTTTAAAATTAAGTCCTTTGAGGAGGCGCTCAAGAAAGAAAGAACAGGCCAGTCACACGATGAACTCATTAAGCCTCTGATTAGAAGATGACAAAAACGGGATCAGTAGGAAATGCACTGTGTCAAAGTTAAAGCTTAATACCTGGGGTAAGCAAGGGGAGAAAAACTTTTGTCTTCAAGTATCCAAATCATTAGGAAGTTTTCTAGAAAAAAGGTTAACCCATACAAGCGTGTAGGCAAGTGTAGGCCTAATGAGGGATAATGTAGTTCCGATACAAACTACTGACTCAGAATAAAGATTTTGTCGTGATTCCTTATGTGCCTATAGACAGAGTATCCGAAAATGTATGTTCTTTTAACAAGATGCCTTATTTCAAGCACTGGCTGAATTAATAGGAATTTCAGAACATATGCACATAGAGATTAACAACAAACCAGCATCTAACATGATTTTCTGTTGTATTAATAAATTTTTGTTATTATAACAACTGCGGTGACTAATCAGACATGAACTGCTCCTAAACGAAATGCACATTGCCATCTAACACGCAGTTGTCGAATGACATTGAGAAGGGTGCTATCCTGGCTAAAATGTGTCTTCAGAAGTGAAATGAGGCACTGGGAGGAGCTTTGTACGAATCTGCGGTTACCATTTGAAAGTAACTGTTTAACACCTCTACTCATTCATCAGACTAAATAAACAAAACAACAAACAGAAACACAGTTTGAATGGCTAAGACCAACGTACGGCAACATAGAGAAAACAAAGCAGCAAACCAATCATTTGGCAGGCGATGAGACCTCACCCTTCTCTGAGCTTATCATCGTAATTTAGAAAGATCGCTTCGTACGAAATCGATCCGCAGTGTTTCAATATTTAATGAGTAGGCGTACGCCATCACACTCCGCCTTCTGCAAGGGAAGAGTTGAATCGACGCAAAGCACTCAGTTTCAGTCTCTCAAATATAAGTATTATTATACAAGAGACTTAAGGGATGGCTGCCACGGAATTTCTAAATTTTGAGAATATGCGAACTTGAGAATAACAGAGAAGGTACTTCTGATCCAGGCTGATCACTTCTTATCAGAAGAATCCAAAATTTGCTACTGAAATTCTCTCCTGAAAAAGGTAGTATTTTTACGAACTGCTCCATTTTCTTCCAACCGATGGCCTTACAGGCAGCAGATAGACCTGAAACTCGAAAATATTTCCTTATTCCAAAAAGTTCAAAACGCGTCAACGACCCCTGTAAAAAGACGGGCTAAAAGCGACTCCTCAAGCTTAAGCCGCACTTCTCAAATTCTAAGGGCAGATACACATGCACATACTTGAGTTCTTGAGCTATCGCGCTGATTTGGTCTAATCTGTCCTGATGGGCGGCCAAATCTGACTCGAATGCTTCGTGACGCTTCTGCAGCGCTTTCAATTCGTACAGATGGACGTTCTTGTAGTCGGACGACTGCAGCATCTCTGGCTTGTCCCTCGTCCACGCTTCGTGTACGTCGCATTTCCGCTTGAATTTCTCTACTAGGTGTTCCAGGCGTTCCAGTCTATGAAATACTGACGTAACATACCAGAAGCATACTTCCAGTGTATTGAAAGCCATATCATAGATAGGGGTTTAGCTATAGTTATGCAAATGCATTGCTATATATATTCAACATTCTATGCATATTCTTACAGTAAAAGGTTAGTATAGTTATATAGGTTGCGATATCATAAAAAAGGGATTCACACACTAGGAGTATGTTAATTAAAATGTAACTCCTTGCTGTAACTGTAGCTCAAAAATGTTTAAAGGGTCAAATCCTGAAAGTTGCAAAAAGTGCAAGTCGTTTACCTTGAGGCCTTTCACATGAGGAATCGGAACTGGTTTCGCCATATAAGATGGTAAAATTTCACCAGAGGCGTAACCGTAGCCAAACTCACTGAATGACCAATCAGCGACAATATCAACTACAGCAGAAACACCCTTCTGAACAATGTACGGCGGCAGCTGACAGAAGGTTCTGCAAACAGTACACTGATACCGTCTGTCAGCATTCGCAATGGATCGTTGTCGTCGCTTCCTTGGCCATGGCAGATATATGGGCCCCAGTGTGTAAGGAGGAGACAGCAAACTGAGGTATATGCACAGATTTTGGATCAATTAAAACTGCCATCGCCAGAGACCAATGTTCATTGGTACAAAGAGTAGCCGCTACTTACGATGATAACGATCTTTCGTCCTTAGGACTTACGTTCGAAATAATCTGTCACCTGTCAAGGAAAACTTCTGTCTTGTAGACTATGACTATATATCCAAAAGTACAGTGACTCATTTTAAACTACAAGACCCTTGAAATAAACTATTCCAAATATTGAGCTACATCTTACATCCATTCGATTAGCATACGGTCAAATAAAATTAAAATCATACCTTTTCATCTCAGACAACAGCCATTCTTCGAATCCCTTCTCTGAGAGCTCCAAATTTTTCCACGCTGAGGTTATGTCCTAAAAGCGGAACAAAACGTGAAAAATATAACATACTGATGACAATACATATACATTCCTCATCGGATTTTCATGTCATTTCGTCATGTCCATCTTATGCACATACAGTTGAAAGGATTACTCATACAACAGTCCCTCTATTGTATAAATAAACTGCCTAAGCTGCATTTGATTTACTACATTGTCCGACGAACTGGAAAATCTTGAAATGCTATTTGGTACGTGAGCATATAGTTTCAATTTTGGAAGAAATGCATGCAGCAATCATGTCTGCCGTCACAGTTGAAGGAAAGTTGAATGAATGATTCAACATTAAGTGTGGAGTTTGCTTGGAAGATGTCTTTGTCTTTGCTATTCGACAATGTTCTCGACTTTCTCCACTGAAACAGTGCTATCCTGGCAAAGGCGAAGGTTCCATTTAATAGAGAACAATAATCAGCTATATTCAGACACCTTGCTGAACTGGAGTACGCAGATGATGCTCGTAGTGAGTAGCATGTAAAGCGAGCTTTGTCACCTGATGACCTCCATATGCAACAGAGCTTCGAAAGCCGACCTCTATCTTTAACGCCAGCAAGTCCGAAGTTGCTAAAAGCCCATTAGACACGGCCAATCTATTAGTAGAGCAGAGAAAGTAAGCGCGTCAGGAGACTGTCGTTTAATAATAATACGTTTAATAGTTCCACGTTTAATAATTCCATTTCCATCATCTCCAGGGGTAGCAATATTCAGCCAGATTTAAAGAGGAAGACTGGCTTAGGCTCGAGTGCTTTTGGAAAACCTGTCCAATACATGGCTACAATTGCCAACCGCCTACGCTTTTGCCAGTCTTGCTGTTTTGTCGTACGAAATGGTGACAGTTGTACTTAAAGAATGACAAGAACGACGGTTTAACTGCTTGGCTGTTTAACAGCGTTGAATGCAACGTATACTGATGTTTAACTGGCAGGGCCACGTAAAGACTGACTTTATTTTTTTTTCAGGCACAGGTAACTTGGGTAGATGTGGAGATTACGAAAAGGACATACAGTCATAAGGACACCAGTATGGTTAAATATATACAATTTATTCCAGCCCGTGAGCTTCTCGTATGGAAGACGAAACAAGGCCGATGTCGACCTGGAGGATAGTATGCGAACAACCAAGCAGAGATGACATGCCTTCAAAGAAGAGCATTTGCTTCTGCGATGCAGTAACCGATGACTTAGCGTAAAAGTGTTGAAAAACTGCAGACATGGCGGACATCACAAACCAGAGACGTTCTGCTTCTGCGAATGGTTCGAGATGATGAAATCAATAAAAATAACATATAAATTGTTTTCTGCACACAGTAATAACAAGCGATCATATTTCCTTCTGCGATGGCACCTGAAAACAGCTTTATCTACCACATATTCAACTGTCTCCTCTTCTTAGTGAGGACCGCCGTTAGCTACAATTTGCAATATAAAAGTCGTAGGACCCAATACACACCGAGAATACGAATAAATTAGTCACATTCCAACATACCTGGATCATCTTGCCTTCGGTCGGCAGGTAGGCGGGACGGTTCGAAAGACGCAGCTTTGTCTGCAACGTGTTAAAGCTGGTCTCCAGTCGGCCCTTTTGTTCTATTCGTGGCGGTTTTTCACGTCTACGATAGCCGCGATACTCGTCCAGCGATCGCTGCACCCCCGCCAGGGTGCCGTCAGTCGTTCGATTGCGCAGCCACGGCAGCCATCGCTTGATCCACTCTAGTAGCTAAATCCAAACGGTAGGCCGTTAGACCTTAACATCAAAACAGCACAACATCAGACAAATTAGGTTGTGACATAACATTAGGTCTTCTGATAAAGGGGTCCGTTCATATTTTGGAAGGGAAACATCGAATGATAAAGAATCTTTGTCGTCTATTGTAATAATCAGAGAAACAAACTACTGCACTGAGGCTATGCGACCCGGATTAAAAAATTCCAGCTTTAAAAATACGGTTTACGTCTGACGTTGATTTGTCACTCAGTTTCCTCTGTTTGCATCGTTGCAATCTATTTTTGATAAGATCGCATGCTGCCAGTAATATCAGTTGTGTGGTGATGAAATTACCAAACGAGTTGGAAATACCAGTTTTACCATCGAATTTATTTGGTGCCCTCAACCATGTCAAATTACCTACAGTTCCATCAACGGATCAAGAATCAAAATTTAGAAATCTTACTGAATCAAAAGAAATGATGCATTTCATGTACTCAACACATGTTGACAGTCAGATGGTAAACGCGATCAATGGGTAGGGTATAAGTGATAGAAATAAGAAACCACAAATTAATTAATTAACGGTAACCTATTATCTATAGGCAGCTTAGAGTGCACATTTTATGATGGAGACGCTAAATGATGGATCTTTAAAATTACGGTTCGCGATACTTGCTGATCACTGTTTTCATTAATTAAAGACATATGATATGAATCCTCAACCTGTCATGCTTGAATAATCAAGGGGCTTAAAATCTATATTGCTGAACCCATGACTGAATTATAATTAATAAGCTGCTGCAATAAAATATTCAGGATGCTTCCTCACAACGCACTCTTGAAAGATGCCCATGTCCTAACAACGTATATTCGACTGGACTGCCTACGGTAAATTTCATATTAAACATGACATCTATATGAACAATAACAGAGCATCGGCTATCCAGATAAAACTGAAAAAACAGATCATATTAACAAAGTAATCAAATTTAATTTATTAAATTATTACTTTACAGAAATCTAATTCAAGATTTAAAACTTTTAAGATGAATATCAGAGTAGGTGACAAAGCTGTACTGAAAAGCCAAATTAAGTAAAGGAGAACGGTTAAGAGACTGTCGCTTGTACACGCATTTAAATGTCTCATTGCCACAAGTAGAAAAGGTTGAAACGATGTGGGAAGTGATCAGCAATGGCATGACTCACTATAAAAAAATACGAGAAAAAGTTAGCGGGGAAAAAGACTCTCTTCAAGTAGCTGATAAAACATGCAGTCATTGTTTTAAATGTTTAAAACAATTGTATTTAGTATTAACAACAATAATTAACGTATCATTCTTCGTTATCAACGAGGTTCACCATTGCCATGTCTCGATGGCTGCGTTCGCCTGCCTTGTGCGATTTGTTGCCACAAGCTTCTACATCTCGCTTTAAACTCATCTCCAACTCAGCTGGTCTTCCCGTTTGGCCCATCAGCTCTCTAAGTGTGCTAATCCATCACTTCTGTAGTCCATCGGTCATCCACCATTAATGCCACGTGTAACGTACCTATTGTCCCTTTCTCTTTTGAAACTGATAAAACGTTGCC